GTGGGCACGGAGCCTCCACGCGCAGGAAGGGGCAGCAGCCGCCCCATTAAAACCAGCTCCGAGCTCAGGCGCCTTCTTCCAGTTACACGTGACACAGATTTCACTGCAGTGAGCAAAGCAAAACCCAGAACTTTTATGCAGCTTCTCGTCAGCTTTTGAAATGCCCGAATTTGGCGTGGAAGCTGAGTGAGATTTATCAACAGCGTGAGCTCAGCTCAGGCTTTTTCAAGGTGAGAATCAAGAATCTTTTCTGTCATCAAAAGACCCACAGACAGCAGCGCTGGGATCCCCTTCAAAAGCGTCATTGCTTGCTGGAGATCCCAGTCACACTCCGAATCTCTTTCTGCACAAGCAGCAGAAAACCCCGCAGCACACGCTCCCCGATTTTTGGCCAACTCGTCACCCCAGTGACACACTGTGCTGGAGGAACACTCACACCCATAAGCAATAAGCACCTCACGTTACATTTCCATCTGTAAAAAGGAAAAAAATCCACCTGAGGAAAACTGAGAAGCAGGAGAGGTGTTTCTCTTCAGCGTTACCCAGTCAGTGCTACGGCCGAACAACACGTGGTGCCGTATCGCAGCCCCCAGTTTCTGCTCGTCAACCAAATCACGCCAGATGTGACCAAACCAACGTAACGTTTCGGTACGTGACGTCACACGTGCGTTCTGTCATCGCACGGGCTCGAAAGCGCTCACTGCCGCTGCACAAGGCAGAGCACAGACCTTCAGGCACTGGAGACAAACACCTTCGCAAACCACACGCTGAGTCGTAACTGAAAACACAGCCAGCCTGCAGACGATCAGCGTTCCCCTCGCGGCGTAAGGGCTTCAAACCACGGAAGGAACACCATATTCTGCACAAACCTGACGGGACCTCAGCTGCACTCGCTAGTTTTAGCGCAGATAAACATCAGGTTCTCCAGTTTGGCATCACTTATTTGCCTAAACAATCACAGTATCGCACAGCTCGAGATTCAGGCCACTTATTCAGGCATTAAGATTTGAAACTGCAACAATATCGGGTCAAACCGTACAAGGTAAAAATAAACACGAGTGAAAATAAAACTTTAAACCAGTCAAGTGGGGCAGAATATGATAATGAAAAGCTTCTAACAGCTAAAGATTAAAAAGTGAAATTCTTGTTTTGTATTAAAATGTTACTGCAATCACATCAGGGCACGCTTTTGATTTTTAATTGACTTTAGCTTCTAAGGTAATAGAGCAAAAAAGCTTTACAAACAATAATACTTAAGTTTTAGAAGCTGAAAGGTAAATATTCACCTCCCAAAGAGGCTCCACCTGTAAGAACAGAAGCGGCACCACACATTTGTCAATCTTCCAGCAATTAGAGAAGAAACAACCAGCGCATGAAATGGAGACAACGCAGCCCTCGGTGCCTATAACCCCGATTTAAACACCCAGACACCTCCTGCTGGGCACTGCCCGAGCACGTCCGATGCAGACCAGCGCAGCCTGCGCGGGCCGGCCAACGCGAGCGGCCGTTACAAGGAGCAACACAGACTTTCCCCAACTGCTTCCACACCTCAGGAAATCGGAATAACCCAAGTAGGTACATGAAAACCACTACGGAAAACTGACCAGCTCGGCGTTCTTGCAAGCACCTCGATTCGGCTGGCTGCCACGGAGGAACAGGCTGACCCTTCACAAGAAGGTAAAACCAACCCGCACAGAAAGGCACGGCGGGACCGGCTGAGTGTGTTTTGCCCACACCAAGCACACCCACAGCTCACACAACACCTCCGCCGAGGTAACTGCACAGACACCCCGCTACAGGGCGGGGAAAACACAGCCCAGCCCCAAAAATCCAAAACCACCTGACGAAGGAACTTGCCATTTAAGCTTCCGCTCGTGGATACGGCGTTGTTCTGCTTCTGGTTATCGTACGCAGGCCCGATGTTGGCAAGATCCTGAAAGAGACAACAAACCCGGTGTACAGGCTCGGCCCCACCCACCGCTCAGCGCCTGAGCACGGCACCCCCAGGCGCAGCCCCCCACCACGGCTGAGCTTTGCCCACCTGACCCAGCCCAAGCCACCAGCAGGAAGAGCCCCCGCCCCTCCTCCCGACGCCCCCCTCGCCTTCCAGCTCCAGGGACATACTTGGTCTAGAAGTCCAAACTTGGGGTAATCTTCTTCCGGGTCTTTGCTCCCCGGGTCCGGGTGCTCCTTCACCAAGAACACGTCTCTCTCTTTGCACTGCAACAGAGACGGAGTTTAAGTCACGCGGCGTCGGGCGCATTAACGAGCGTTTGAACCACGGCCTTGACTGGTAACGCGCAGCGATCGACCACGCAGGGTGCCTTGGAGTCTGCACCGCTTAGCCCCACGCCCAGCCCTCGGCACACACGAGCGTCAGACAACGCCCCGCTCCAGAACACCCTCCTGGGTTCCGCTCTGAACACGCACCATCGTCTTCACAATGTTATTAGGCCAAGTCATTTTCCCGGGTCTCTGCCGTGTCGTCATACACTCCCAGTATTTATCAATAAATGGGATAATATCCTGTAAAAAAAACCAAAATAACGTCGAGTCCTAACAGCACGGGGCTGAAGGCCTCGCTGCCGGTGTCTGGACTCGCTCTCCACCGAGCTCACCGCCTACGTAAACCCGTGACGATCTCCGCGACAGCCGTACCTTGTCTTTCGAGAACATGGTTTTTGGGTGCTCATCTTGCGTCCTCGACTGCCACGTTAGGTTGGCCAGAGCACTAAGGCACATTTCCTTGAGATCTTAAAGACAAAACCAGACCGGAGCCGGAGTTACACTTCACGGGGAGGATCAAACACACGCTCGACCACCAGCCACACCGCGTCCACGCTGTCCTGGGTAACGGCGGAGCCCTCACGAGCTCTCTCCTAGCCCAGCAGCCCTCCCCACCCAGAACATTCTCACCACCTCCACGAGTCAACAGCAAAACATTTTTAGAAAAAGCCGCTCAGGCTTGTTGCCGGTTTGGAATTTTTTGGGTCATTTTTGAAAAGCCCCAGCAGAACCCCCCCTCCCCCGCTGACAAAACGCCACCTCTAGGATGACCCTGCACAGAATTCCAACCAGCGTCCTTTTATACCTACTTGCTTGTTTCCGTAAGAAATAGGTGTTCCCGCTGTGATGGCAAACATTGCAGTGGAAACTGTAGTTGGTCATGAAGGGCAGACAGGACCTGGAACAGAGCCGGCTGACGGTGAGCGCGGGTGCAGCCCGACCTGCTGCCTCAGGGCAAGATGGTAATTATTGCAGGTTAACAAACCAGTTGTTCTCTCTCTCTCTCTCTCCCCCAAACCACAAACTTCCTACCAGTTCAAGGATATTTTCATTGAATTAGGTTTATCACTGGCATCGAGAAAAGCCACAAAGCTCCTGAGAAAAATGCAAGCAGCTAAAGGTCACCTTCTTTGGTTTAGATCAGTCCTGAAATTCCTGCAGCAAAGAGACAACAGCCCAGAAGCTCTAGACAAGGAGCTCCATCTGAGTCAGTCAGCTTTGACTGGAGCCTAGAATACTTCTTAGGGACAAAATACAGCCAGAAAAGTTAAGTTTTTAGTAACTCTAAGGCCAGCCCCATGCAGAAAGCAGGCGGATTCACGCCTCACAGGAAGATTTATCCTCCATTCGGGCCAACTGCAAGCGGCTGCTGAAGCCCCCTCCGCCCCCCAGCCGCTCGTAGGGGCCTCCGAGGCACCGGGCCCAGCGGCGGCTCTGGACTAAGATTCCTCCTGAGGCTGCAGAGTCCGACCACAAACCCCTCCGGCCGTGCTGGGCACAGCTTTGATTTACACAACACGCCAGCCTCCACGCGCCCAAGGACAGAGTCCCGGTCCCTTGGGCCTTCCTACACCAAATATTCCCAGTTTCGCCAACCACCCTTTCACGCACGTGGTGTCGATGCCGAAGGTGTCTGCTGTGAACCACTTGGTACAGATCCCACACTGCAGCTCGATCTCGCCGAGCTGCCGCCCGTTCTCTTCATCCACGGAGCCCGCCTGAGCATCCAAGGCCTCGGAGTTGTCCCCAGCAGCTTCCTACAACCAGAGCAGATCAGCAAACTTGGGCTGGCTTAAAGAGTGACCGAACCAGCCAGGAAAGAAGGTTTGTGCAGTAACCTGCCAAGACAGCAGCATTCAGAAGGAACAAACCTTGTTTCCCCTAACGCACAGCCGTGCTGTGAGCGAGCTGGAACTACTTTGTAAAGCCGGTCAGTTAGAACGAGCCAGATGGGCGGGGATCTCATTTCCAAAATAATTCTCCACAGAACTAAAACTGGAGCTAGCAGGATGGAAAGCCCTTCTCTTCTGAACCACAGAAATGTGCTCAGATTTTGGTTTTCTGAACAACTACCTTCTCACCTGCTACGTCTTTGTCTCAGTAATCCTGGAAAACTGAGGATGCTTATTTGTTCTAACACTCCCGGCACTGCCAGACACCTATTTATTGAACAGCAACATTTTATCTTCTGAAAACAGTATTCTAGCCTTGCGCTTTTTCTACACCACGTACAACTCGTGGCTATCTTACGCCTTTGCATCTCCCCTGCCGCCTGGGCAAAGCCACCAGACCGCTACCAGGCTCCCGAGCTCTTGCACCCCCACCACGAGGGCAGCTCGGCCGCAGGGACAAGCGAACTGAGGCGTCTGGTGGCACGGGCGGCCAGGCAGCACCCTCACCCAGAGCCTGCACGTTCCGCTCTGGGGGCTCTCGCATGCTCTGCCTGTGCCAGCTCCGCACCACTCCCCCCACACCGTGGACTGGGACTCCCCCAGCGAGCCCCGGCTGCCCGCAGCCACCTACCAGGGGGTCCTTCCCGCTGGCAGACTCGGTCTCCAGAGCTGTGGCGACATCGACCAGGGCGGCATCACCCCTGTGGGAGCAGAAATGAGTTCCCGAGGGGCCCCCACCTCGGCCCTGGCATCACCGTGGCAGGACATAGCTTGGCCCCGGCGTGAACTGGGGCGGACTGGGGCAGCCTGGCTCCGGGGCCTGGCGTGGACTGGGCAGCACGGGCCGGGAACCCTGAGCATCCCCGGTGCCGCTGGGGCAGAAACACCGCCCGGAACCCCACGGCTTCCCGGGGAAAGAGGCAGGGACCCCTCCCCCCTTAACCCTCACGGTTTGCAGGGCTG